CTCTCTCTCTCTCTCTCTCTCTCTCTCTCTCTCTCGTAAGCTCTCTAATAGTGATACAAAATAAATATTATTTTATAGCTTCACAACAGCAATGACTTAAAAAATTCCAACAAATAATTGCATACGAAATATGAAAGTGAAGAAAAAAGCAGAGTTTGAATATTATATTTCTGGGAATTATTTGATATCCGATATCAAAGACCATTATTTCATAGTTTGTCTCACATTTCTTATGCGAAAATTTAATTTCAAACTAATTTTATTAAAAAATAAATGATAAAACACTTTATGATAAAAATAGTAAAATATTTTTATATTTTTGTTTGGAAATCGACTTAATATTATACATAATTTTTATTAAATTAAAAAATTTCTAGAAAAATGACGAATTATTCGACAATATATTTAAATATATAATTATTTGTATATATTTTACATCAAAATTGACAAAAATCTATATTAAGTTTGAAAGTAATAGTGTTTGAAAAGTACAGATCAATGAATACTTGGTTTCAATCAATAGTAGACATAAAATGAGAAATTCTTGATATAAATTAAATTTGAGTGAAGAGTAGAAGAGATTATTTGAAAAATGAAAAGTTTCGGAGAAATAAGCCCAGAGTGAGGACTCCGAGAGCACCGGCCGCTCCGTAAAGCAGTTTTTTCTGTCCCTCAACCACTTTCTCGCCCGAAAACTCAATCACATATTCCTGTGGATCGCAAACAGAGAAATGAGTGTTAATTGTAATCATTGTATGGATTAAGTGCTCATTAGTAGGGAAAGGGGTAGTGAAGAGGGGCGCGAGAGTGGGGTCGAGCGGGGGTTACAAAGTGATGGACACAAACCCAGTCCCCGTTATCACGGATCCATTGGCTCAGGTGTGTCGTGACATAAGCGGTGATCCAATGGGAGACTTCATTCACTAGATTTGGGAAACCGTTTTGAACGCAACTGAATGCGAACTCAGAGCCGAAGACCAGGAAAGTGATGATATGATTCCATTTGATCCCTTCGATGAACAACTCGTTGGACACACTGTTGAAAGTGGTCATCGCTGTCGACGGACTCAACTCCAGGCGCTCACACATCGCCGACAACTGGCCCTCATATAAACGCACGTATTTGTGGCCCAATGTCTTCAACGCGTCCACTATTTTAGTCCTTTGACTCGAATTAAACGATTGGTTGTTATGGGAGTCGTCGGCCGCGTTGTGGACACCGTTGGCCACCACTTCTGGAGACCAGTTGTAACCCTTAAGAGCCAATTGTGAACACAAGAACTCATTGACTATCGACTGAAGCGAACAATCCGTTCGGTTGTGACCATTGGTTCGCACTTCAGACACATTGGATGAGCCATTGGTCGCCATTATATCAGTTGTCGACTCAACTCTTCGGTTGGGATGTATTCACAGACAATACAATAACAATCACATCAACTCTTTGGACCAATTGTTGCGCTCAAGACATTCATCAGTCCATTCACACCGTTATATCAATTGAAAGACGTGTGGGTTTAGTGGGTCTCAGTGTTGGGCTGAGGAGGTTGTGGTGATGTGTGGATGTGTTTCAGTGACCATAAAGTGATGGTTGAGTCAATCGTTTGCAGCGAAAGGTCGACAAACTGTCAGATATTTATGTATTAATTCAGGCATTCATTCATTCAATGCATTCCAACACTAAATACAACACTAATAATGGACTCTCAATACAGTCTTCTCAACAATGACTCAATCGGTCCCTCAATTACGGCCACTATTTGGCACAACTCTGCCGTTGAGTGCCATTCAGTGCCAATGCGTTCACCACTTCGGGGGCCACTCTATGGGCGACGTTATTGTTGTGCAAAAGTAGTGTATTATTGGGTAAACCTATCGATAGGTTTGGCAAACGATTGCAACGAAAAGCACTGCCTTTTGTGCCTCACTTTCAGCGAAGCATTCCTTACGATCGATGGGATCCGCCACTCGACCGATGGTTACGCTGTCTTGTCTGCGTTCATAGGCCTGTGCTCTCTCTCTCCTGCCCTATGGCTACGCCACTGATGGCTGCGAAACACGTTTTAAACGGGCGTTGAATGGATGCGAAGATTGATTTGTGAGGAATTCTTGTGGTCTAACACTTGGAATGCCATCACTTTTGAGGTGATGTTCAGCTCAGATGTGATCCAAACGCTCACTCAGAACAGGCTTTGCAACCAAAACCTATTATTGCATTCATTTATGACAAACAATCGACTGCTTCTCAGAATCGCATAACTTTTTTAAAAACTTTTATCTTAACTTTAAATTGATTTCAAAGTCAGTAAATGAACGCAAACTACAGACCAATGATATTGTTTTGTATCAATTTATTTATAATACAAATTTAGTTTTTATTACAATCATAAATATAAATACAATTATCAATTGAAACAAAGTATGCAAACGAAACCACTAGAAAATTATCACAAAAATTGCGTTTTTAAATAATCACAACTTTTTTCATTTGTTGTTGAGTTCGTTCACTCATTTAGAAATTGTTACTTAAATGTATTATACATGCAATTCAATGGCTAGCAAAATGGCATTTATATCCAGTCTTTTCATTGTCTTAAACATAAAAATTAGCAAAATTAATCACAAAACATGTCAAACATTAACAATTAAATCAACTTTTAGTAGAAAATATGGCGCAAAACATAATACAAGAACTTATGAGTGGTAGTGATGGTCAAAATCTTCGCAGTCATCATAAGAAAACTGATCAATGCCTTCGACATAGTTGTCAATGTCTTCCATATAATTGACACAATCATCGAAATAATCTTCCAATTGATTCACTACTCCAGGCATTGAACCAAAATAAATATAAAGTATATTATTTTCTCAACTATTAATGGACCACAAAATATACGAAATATAAAAATATCTAACTTTTCGATATATAATTCAATTAAACAAATAGTGAGAGAGAAGACAGAAGTAGCAAAACATATGACGGAGAGTAACGCTTTGGTAGTTGTCTGAAGAGCTGCTCAATACTTAACTCAGCCCATAGTCGAGATCTTCGTCGTCGTAATCGTTGTAATAATCTCTGAAGTCTTCGTCATTATCTCCGAAGTCGACGTCCAAGTCGTCCATTTCATCGTAGAAGTCGTCGGGACCGCTATTATAGCCATTCTGTTGGGCCCACCCGTGATCGCAGCCATACTCGCAGTGATTGTCTTCGTATAAGATCTTCAAATTGTTTGGCAGGTCTGAGGTTTGGGGAACAGATTCTTGCGTAACATTTGTGTCGACGACATCCAAACGGAACGTTTCCGATGGATATGTCTCGGCCTTTGCGATGAAAGCGTCGACAACTGTTTTGGTTATATGGGAACAGTTGTGCAGAACTAACACACGAAGGAGAGGACACGAGGCGATTACAATAGCGATTTCGTCGGTTATATTGAGACAATCGCGAAAACTCAAAGTCTTCAGACGAGTCATCTGCGCGATGGCAGAGAGTGTGGCGCCGGTCAGAGAGTTGGCACACCTTATCTCAAGCGTCTCTAATGATTGGCAATTCTGTCGGATGTCTTGCAATGAGTTGTCATTAATAGCGATGTTATTAATGGGCGAAAGAATGACTTTTAGATGCAAGAGATGCGAACTCTTGAGCGAACGCATCAACTCTTTGAAGTCTTGAGGAGTGAGTCTGGAGTCGTCCGTCACATCCATCTCGAGGTCTTCCAAATGAATGAGATTCGAGAAGAGATCGAAATCAGGGTTTTGTGAGAAAAGTCTGAATTTGATAGCTTTTAGTTGAATTAAATGTTTGCAAATCAAAGACAGAATCGATTTATTCCTTATATCGACAGATAGTGTTGAGATCCGCTTTCCGTAACCGTCGCACAGATCCCTGAAGACTGTTTCGTCGGTCACTTCACTGCCAATGAGTTGCAATTCCGTTATCTTCGGACCCAATCGTTTCAACTCTGGTCTCGAAATCTTGTCATTATCTGTGATATCAATTGTTTCCAAGTTTTGTGAATCCATTAAACAGTTTAAACTCTTTTCTTCGATACGTTTGGACACTATTTTCTTAATCCTTCGGAAGTACTCAATGTGTTTAATGATATACTCGTCGATTTCAGTCAAGTGACCAAAATCTATGGACTCCAAGAGGTGACAGTTGGACACAACGGTAGCCATTATATTGTCTTCGACTTCATTTGCGGCAAATTTGTCGGATGTGAAGGTCGAGAGGTCTTTGAGATCAATGGTCCGGACGTTACAACACTTGCGGATCATAAGACATAAGGCTTTGGTTGAGATGGAGACGGATGACGGCTCCACCTCTTTGCCAAAGATTGTCGACACACTCAACAGCGGTTCCGATTTGAAAGACTTGTCCACACATTGAGACCACTTGAGACAAACGGCGCTCAAAGCGATTCTGGCGTTCAT